AAGGAAACTTATGTAATCTTAGTTTACAACTTAGCTAATATAAATACACGTTTAACATGACCTACATACTCCAATAGATGCTGAGAGAATCAATCTATTGATGATCATAAATATGACTCAGAGGAATATTTATTGCTGTTATTGAGTCTTCGCTCTTTTGGAAGACTAAAATATGTAAAATGCATTCATTTAAAAATTTTCTATAAATTAATTAAATTTGCTACCAGTTTTTATTTTTTTATTTTTCTTATTATTTTTTTTTATCCTCACCCGAGAACATTTTTCCATTTTTTGTTCAGATAGAGCGGGAGGGAGAGAGAGGAAGAGAGAGAGAAACATCGATGTGAAGGGACACATCAAGTGGCTGCCACCCTCACGACCAACCAGGGCCGGGGACAAACTGCAACCGAGGTACGTGCCCTTAGCGGGAACCGAACCCTGGTCTCTCTGTACCGCAGGCCGACACTCCAACCGCTGAGCCAAACTGGCCAGGGCTGCTACCAGTTTTTAAGTGTTCTTAAGTTTCAAAAAGTTTATTTCTGAAAATAAACTAATATGGAATTCCTCTCCCTTGATGCCCCATGATAAATGAAGCATTACACTGTTAGTTTTTGCTCCTTCTCAATTATATTTGGCCAATGAACAAGGTTCTTTTTACCCTATATTGTTGAAAGTATTACAGATGTCCTTTCTTTCTTCCCCCATTGACACTCTCCTCCCCCCTCCCACACCCTGCTGCCTTCACTGCACTGTTGTCTGTGTCCATTGGTTGTGCATATATGCATATAAGTTCTTTGGTTTATCTCTTCCTGCCCCTCATCCCTCTTCCCTCTGAGGTTTGTCAGTCTGTTTCCTACTTCCATGTCTCTGGATCTATTTTTTTCATCAGCTTCTTTTGTTCATTATATTCTACAAATAAGTGAGGTCATATGATACTTATCTTTCTCTGACTGGATTATTTCACTTAGCATAATACTCTCCAGGTCCCTCCATGTCATCTCAAAGGGTAGGAGTCCTTTCTTTCTTACAGACACATAGTATTCCATTGTGTACATGTACCATAGCTTTTTTTATCCACTCATCTAGGGATGGACACTTGGGCTGTTTCCAGATCTTAGCAATCGTAAACAATATTACTATGAACATCGGGTGCATATACTCTTTCTGATTGGTGTTTCAGGCTTCTTAGGATATATTCCTAGAAGTGGGATCACTGGGTCAAATGGCAGTTCAATGTTTAATTTTTTTCAAGAAATTCCATATTGTTTTCCATAGTGGCTGCACCAGTCTGCATTCCCACCAGCAGTGTACTAGAGTCCCCTTTTCTCCACACCCTCACCAGCACTTGTTGTTTGATGATTTGTTGTTGGGAGCCATTCTGGCAGGTGTGAGGTGATACCTCATAGTCATTTTAATTTGCATCTTTCTGATGATTAGTGACATTGAGCATTTTTTCATGTCTCTTGGCCATTTGTATGTTCTCTTTGGAGAAGTGTCTATTTAGGTCCTCTGCCCCTTTTAATTGGATTATTTATCTTCCTTTTGTTGAGCTGTATGAGTACTTTATATATTTTGGATATTAACCACTTGTCTGAGGTAACATGGACAAATATATTCTCCCATATAGCAGTTTCCCTTTTCATTTTGATGCTAGTTTATCTTGCTGTGAAGAAACTTTTTAGTTTGGTATAGTTCCATTTATTAATTTTTTTCTTTCTCTTGCCCTAAGCAATGTATTGGTGAACACTTTGCTACATGTGATGTCTGAGATTTTGCTGTCTACATTATCTTCTAGGATTTTTATGGTTTCACAATTTACATTTAAGTCTTATACCCATGTTGAGTTTATTCTTGTGTATGGTGTAAGTTGGTGGTCTAGTTTCAATTTTTTGAATGCATCTGTCCAATTTTCCCAACACCATTTATTAAAGAGACTGTTTTTACTCCATTGTATGCTCTTGTCCTCTTTGTTGAATATTAATTGAGCATAATGTCTTGTGTTGATTTCTGGGTTTTTTATTCTGTTCCATTGATCTACATGGCTGTTCGTGTGTTGGTACAAAGCTGTTTGTTTTTATTTCAATGGTTTTGTAGTATAACCTGATATCTGGTATTGTGAGCCCTCCAACTTTGTTCTTCTCTTACAAAATTGCTGTGGCTATTTGGGGTCTTTTTTGATCCCATATAAACTTTTGGAGTATTTGTTCTAGATCTGTGAAATATTCCATTGATATTTTACTAGGGATTGCATTGACTCTGTAGATTGCTTTGGGTAGTATGGATATTTTAATGATGTTGACCTTCCAATGCATGTACGTGGTATATGCTTCCACTTTTTATCTCTATTTCTTTTTTCAGTGTCCTGTAGTTTTCTGAGAACAACTCCTTTACCTCCTTGCTTAAGTTTATTCCTAGTTATCTTAATTTATTTGTTGCAATGGTAAATGAGATTTTTTTTTGTTTTAGTTTCTCTTTCTGAGTGTTCATTATTGTTGTCTAAAAATTCTACTGATTTCTGCATGTTAAGTTTGTATCCTGCTAGTTTTCTGAATTCATTTATTAAGTCTAGAAGTTTTTTGGTGGAGTCTTTAGGGTTTTCTACGTACAATATCATGTCATCTGCAATGAATGACAGTTTTACTTCCTCCTTTCCAATTTGGATTCATTTTATTGTTTCTTCTGTCTGTTCACTGTGGCAAGACTTCCAGCACTATATTAAGTGAGAGTGGTAAAACTGGACAGTCCTGTCTCATTCCTGTTCTTAAGGAAAATACTTTTAATTTTTGCTCATTGGGCATGATGTTGGCTGTAGGTTTGTCATATATGGCCTTTATTATGTTGAGGTATGATCCCTTTATTCCCACTTTGCTAAGAATTTTTATCAGAAATGGGCACTGGATTTTGTCAGATGCTTTTTCCATATCTCTTGATATGATCACATGAATTTTGTCTTTCATTTTGTTGATATGGTGTATCACAGTTATTATTTTGCAAATATTGTACCAATATTGCATCCCTGGGGTAAATTCCCCAGGTCATGGTGAATAATTGTTTTGATATATTGCTGGATCTGATTTTCTAATATTTTATTGAGGATTTTGGCATCTATGTTTATCAGGGATATTAGCCTGTCATTTTCTTTCTTTGTAGTGCCTTTATCTGGTTTTGGAATTAGGAGTATGCTGGCCTCATAGAAAGAGCTTGGAAGTCTTCCTTTGTCTTGAATTTTTTGGAATAGTTTGAGGAGAATGGGTGTTAGTTCTTCTTTGGATGTTTATAAAACTACCCTGTGAAGCTGTCTAGATCAGAGCTTTTGTTTGCTGAGAGTTTATTGATTACAGCTTCAATTCTCTTAGTTGTTATTGGTCTGTTCAGGTTTTCTGACCATTCCTGGTTGAGATTTGGAAGATTGTATGATTCTAGGAATTTTTTCATTTTGACTAGGTTGTCCTATTTGGTGACATATTGTTCATAGTATTTTCTTACAATCCTTTGTATTTCTGTAATGTGAGTTGTTACCACACCTCTTTCATATCTGATTTTATTTATTTGGGTCATCTCTCGTTGTTTTTTGGTGAGTCTGGCTAAAGGTTGATCAATCTTGTTTATCTTTTCGAAGTACCAAATCTTGCTTTTATTGATCTTTTATATTGTTCTTTTAGACCATATGTCATTTATTTCCACCCTGATCATTATTATTTATTTCCTTTTACTTAAACTGGGTTTTTCTTTTTGTTCTCTCTCTAATTCTTTAAGTTGTAGGCTGAAAGAGTGTATTGGAAATTTTTCTTGTTTCTTGACATAAGCCTATAATGTTATGAACTTCCCTCTCAGGACTGCTTTCACTGTGTCCTTAGATTTTGTGTTGTTATGTGTTTATTTTCATTAGTTTCCAGGAATTTTTTTATTTCTTCCTTGATCTCATTTGTAACTCATTCATTGTTTAATAACATGCTATTTAGCATCCATGTGTTTGAATATTTTTGAGTATTTTTATTGTAATTTATTTCTAGTTTTATGCCCCAAAGAACAAGTTTTAATTTAAAATTTTTCTACCTGCATGATAGTTATGTAGTCATAAAAAAAAAAGAAAAAAAAAAAAAAGACAAAGTAAAAGTAAAATCTGAGGTCAAACTAGACAAACAAAAGTTCATGTTGTAGGATTCCATTTATCTAAAATGCAAAAAAAAAAAAAAAAAAAAGTCCAAACTGACTTACACTGTTAAATTTTGGATAGTGTTTATCTTTGGGCAGGGAGAGGGATAGTGACTAGAAGAGAGCATGAGGCATGCTGGTAATGTTCTGTTCCTTGCTAGAATATTAAGTTTATTTGGTTTGTAAAAATTTATTGAGCTATACATTTATGATATGTGTACTTGTCTTTATGCATATTATGCTTCAATAAAAAAGTGTTTTGTTTTGTTTTTTAATCTGAAAAGTCAGTATTAGAGCCATTTAATAGCCAGCTGGTCTGTATACACATAGAGGAATGCTGTGCAAAGTTAGTCTATTTCTCCAAGATATCTGCAATAGGGGGTCCCAAGAGAATTTATGTGAAAGCCAAGGCATGTCTATAAAATGCTTTTTAATTTTGATTTTGCTGGATTAATAAAGCAATATTAAATATTATTCTTATCAGTCATGGAATGCACAGATAGAAATAAAATGTCATTAAATCTCAAAGCAAGTGAGGTGGAAAAACACGGCTTTGTTCAGAATTCTACTATTTGAATTAAAGACAGTGTTCTTTCTCCATAGTTATAAAATAGTATTTTAATGAATGATTACTGAAGCCAAACAAGACCACAGGCAAAGAAAGAATTCAATTAAATAGAATTCTAGTTCAAGCTAGATCCCAGAATTCTTTTCTCATTCATTGTCCTAATCTGTTGGGTTTCCAGGAAGAATGAACACATTTTAGATACAGTTCTTTCACATTGCATTCTTTGCCATCAGTGGCCCATTAGTAAGAGAAACCTTGTCTCTATGCTTCATAACAGAAACAAAAGAAGAATCTCACTGCTCAACACATGAGGGGATTCAGTATGACGGGTGCTATCTCTGCAGAAAGGCCCCCACCATCTCTCTCATCAGTTCTAAAGAATAACCCACTATATGGTGACATAAGTTTGGAGGAAGCTATGGAAGAAAGGAAAAAGAATCCTTCGTGGACCATCGAGGAATATGACAAGCGTTCCCAGCACACAAACCTTTCTGGGCATCTGAAGGTACTCTAAGCAAAGAATCAGCTTCTTCAGTGATGGGAGAAATCAGTTAAATACTCCTAAATGACATGGATATTGAGGTGATCGGTACTCTTCACTAGGCACAAAATCTGCAGGTTTCAGGTCATTTGAGCCTCTGGCTTCCCTTTTTCTCTTTTTGTCATTGTGTTTATTTATTTATTTAGAGTTTTACAACAAATTGGATATGGCACAGAAACAAGGTTTACCTGGAAGGTAAAAGGTTTTTGAAAATTAATTGGCTAAATTATGTATATTTCCCCTAGTTGTGTGACCACTTATCTTCATGAATACTTATGAATCTCTTGTTCTACATGTATTTAAAAATACTTATAAAATGTTCTGTCTTCGGCACTGTGCAAGGCAGTTCTCATCAAAGATCATTTCATTTCAAGCCCACTCCGTGATTTAAGATTGCAGACTTACATTTTGGAGTCTTTCCTGTGTCTCAGTAACAAAACAAAAGAAAAGCATTTCAACACAGGAAAAGTATGCAATGAACTCATTCACCCAGCTTAAACCCAATTTAGGCCCCCTCCCCCCACCTAAGGTCACCCATCACATAGAAGATGTAGAAATACCTGAAAAGCAGGAAAGCAAACATTCCCTGGCTGGTTTGGCTCAGCGGTTGGAGCATTGGCCTACAGTCCAGAGAGTCCTGGGTTCAGTTCCTGCTAGGAGAGGTACCAAGAAAAAAAAAAAAAAGCTGGAGAGCTGCCCTGGGCTTTTTGTCTGCTGCTTTATGGCTGTGAAGGACTGACATTTTCCAGGTACCTCGTATGCATATCTGTTCATGCCTTAAGCATCTAGAAAGACGTTTTCTTTTGCAGGGGACAGCCTTATGATCTCTTAAAATCTTACACTTTTTAAAATCTCAAATGCGCACTCCTTAAGATATCTCATTTTCCAGAGTCTGAAGTTTCTTAATCTCCCAGCAGATTTAACATCTCTCCTTCTTAATGTAGTCTCTTTTCCGGAGAAGTTTCCGTAAAAGATGCTCCCCCATAGCAACAATAATCCTGTGTTTTTATCAGGAGTCTGAAGCTCAGCCTCTAAGAAGTCACCTCCTCCAAGTGGGAAATGTATTGATTTATTTCACAAATATGTCTTGAGTATACACGAGAGCCCCTTCTCTTCTCTTTGTTGTTTACACGAATGACAAGGGACTATAAAGATAAATATTAATGTCCCTGTCCTCAAAAAGTTCATTTAATTGAGCAAAATAGCAAACAGTAACTAGAGAACAAGACAGAGTGAGGAGATGGAAGCGTGTGCCCGTCATGGTTATAGAAAGTGATGTGCAGTTTCAGAAGAGAACAAAATCATATTGGATTATAAAAAAGGCTTCACAAAAGGTTCATTTATGCTGGGCTAAAAGGATGTGGAAAATTCAAAAGACATAGAAGGTTTGGTAAGTGTGAGGTAGGGTGGGCCCTTCTGTCAGGAGTAGCAAGAAAAAAGGCACAAATACAAGAAAGTGAGAGTTTGTCAGAACAGTAAGCAGTAATTTTGCTGGAGTAATGGAATAATGAGAGAATAAGGCTAAAAACCAGACTAAAAGAAAATGTTTGAATGTAAGAATAAGGAAATTGAACATTACTGGCAGTGAGGAGTAATTTTTTGTTGGACAAATTCCATGAGTTATGTTTAGGAAGATCAAACATGGGATGATAGCTATATTGCTTTACTAACACCGGGCTTCCCCCACCCGTCCTGAAGGGAAATCACTCACCTCAAAGCAGTGGCCCTCAGGCCACAGGCTCATTTATAGACCTCTTGATGCTAGTCTTCAGCACTAACTATTCTTTTTTTTTTTTCCCCTTGTTATTTATTTATTTTTTAAATCTTTATTGTTGAATGTAGAATGTATTACAGATGTTCCACATTTTTCCCCCCATTGACTCCCTCCTCCCCACTCCCGCCTCCCTCCCACATTTTCCCACACTATTGTCTGTGTCCATTGGTTATGCATATAAGTTCTTTGGTTTATTTCTCCCCCCCCCCCCAGCCCCTTTCCCTTTGAGGTTTGTCAGTTTAGCAATGAATTTGTACTTCTTAATCCCTTCACCTTTTTCACCCATTCCCCCAACCCCCTCCCATCTGGCAACCAACAAAATGTTCTCTGTATCTATGAGAATGTTTCTGTTCTGCTTGTTTATTTTGTTTGTAGATTCCATTGTCGATAGATATGTATTCATTGCCATTTTGTTTGTTCATATATTTTATCTTTTTCTTCAAAAAGACCCTTCATCATTTCATATAATAACGGTTTGGTGGTGGTGAACTCCTTTAACTTTTTCTTGTCTGGGAAAGTCTTTATATGGCCATCGATTCTAAATGACAGCTTTGCAGGATAGAGTAATCTTGGTTGTAGGTTCTTGCTCTCCATCACTCTGAATATTTTTTGCCACTCCCTTCTGGCCTGCAAAGTTTCTTTTGAGAAATCAGCTGACAGCCTTATGGGAACTCCGTTGTAGGTAACTAGCTGCCTTTCTCTTGCTGCTTTTAAGATTGTCTCTTTGTCTTGAACCTTTTGCATTTTGATGATGATGTGTCTTGGTGTGGGCCTCTTGGGGTTCATCTTGTTTGGGACTCTCTGTGCTTCCTGGACTTGTATGTCTGTTTCCTTCACCAAGTTAGGAAAGTTTTCTGCCATTATTGTTTCAAACAGGTTTTCTATTTCTTGTTCTCTCTCTTCTCCTTCCGGCACCCCCAAGATGCGAATGTTGGCACGCTTGAGGTTGTCCCAGAGGCTCCTTACACTATCCTCATTTTTTTGGATTCTTTTTTCTTTTTGCTGTTCTGATTGGGCGTTTTTTGCTTCCTTATATTCCAAATCGATGGTTTGCTCCTTGGATTTACATACTCTATTATTGAAGCTGTGTAAATTATTCTTTATTTCAGTTAAAGCCTCCTTCGTTTCTAACTGTGCATCGATCATTTCTGACTGGTCCTTTTTTATGCTCTGGAGGCCCTCCCTAAGTTCACTGAGGTTCTCACTAAGTTCATTGAGCATCCTTATAAGCAGTATTTTGAACTCAGCATCTGTTAGGTTGCTTATCGCCATTTCGCTTAGTTCTTTTATTGGGGTTTTGTTCTGTTCTTTCATTTGGGACCTATTTCTTTGTCTCCTCATTTTGCCTGCCTCCCTGTGTTTGTTTCTGTGTATTACTTAACACGAGGTATGGGGCTCGCTGAGACCAGATGCTGCACGTTTGAAAATTTTTAGGAAAACCTGAAGCAGGATCCCAGACAGGCCAATCCTATGGTTAAGCAACTGGCAACAGCTTGGGTGGGCCTGAAAGTTGGGTGGGGCAGGGCCTCAGGGAGTCAGCAGGGCGGGGCTACTAGTGTGAGCCAGGTTGCTGGAGTCCCAGATATGGCTTCTGTCTGCCGCCCCCGGGAAGGGCTCACCAAAGGAACAAAGGCCTCTGACAGAACGTTTGTCCCCAAGGAAGCCCCCTCTCCAGCCCTCGCTCCAGTGCCAAACAGCTCAGTTCTTCCCTGTATGTCTCTGGTGCCCCTCGAGCTGCCTCCCCTCCAAGCTTAGAGGGAGAGAGTCCGATAAGTCCGTGCGCGGGCCCTTTAGGGAGCTGCCTGGGGCTCCAGCCGCGTCAGCTTCCCTGAGCCTCAGTTCCTGCTGTTTTTTCCAGCCAGAAGTTATGGGGATTTCTCTTCCTGGCACTGGAACCCTGAGCGGGGCACCTGGTGTGGGACAGGGACCCCTCAGTCCTCAGGAAGGACCTTCCCAGCCGAGGTGTCCTCCTGATTTTTATCCGCCACACGTGGGTGTGGGACCAGCCCGTGCCGCCACCGCCCCTCCTACCAGTCTGGATGTGGCTGCTGCTTTAATTCCGTAGTTGTAGCACTTCCATTCAGCTGGATTTCAGGCGGTTTTGAATGGTGGTTGTTCTGTAGTTTAGTTGTAACTTGGATGTGGTTGTGGGAGGATGCGATACCGCGTTTACCTACGCCGCCATCTTGACCGGAAGTCAGCACTAACTATTCTTGAGGGATGCTTCTGGAAGTCATGACTTTTGTTTTTATTATAATTTTTTTCTATATCTCATTAATTCAACTTCTCCCATCACCTTCCCTTTCGGTATCTCTTAATTAGCAGACAGAACCTTCCTGAAAACTTTTCACCACTACGAACCATAAAAGTTTTAAAGTTCTTTTTGCCACTCTCATTTTTCTAAATTTCTAATTTTATAAATAAGAAAGGGGAAACGAAGCCCCATAGGTAGCTCTGAAGGCCAGCTGTAGCAGAAAGGGAGAGGATGGTCTTCATCCTGGAAGTTCTCACTGCAGAACGGAGGCACTGACCCCGCAGGCAAAGCGCAGGCCTCTGAGTAGGAGACACACAAAATGAAAGACAAGAGTAGCACAGACAAAGTTTTTCTTATTGTTTGTTTTTTTTGTGTTTGTAAATTTGCTTAATTTTTGGCAAAATTTAATTTTGCTTAATTTTGGCTTAATTTTGCTTAAAATTGGCAAAGATCTTCATGCCATTGGACAAAAAGGAAATTTGTTTCTTTACTACAGCAGCACTCGTATTTGCATCAGAATAATCAAACCACTATCCATCAAATAAAAGGAAGAAAGAATGCTAAGATTTAAACAAAGATTTTTAAATCATCTCTCCTTTTGTACAGGTCACCCAAATTTTATTTTAATACTTTAGTTTTTCTAAAACTAGGAAATTGAAACCAGTAACCATGTGATAGAGGAACTGTGTTGCCATGGCCAGAATCCACCCAGCCCCTATAGGCATGCACATGGCTCTCCCAGCTGCACATTGGGACGGCTGAAACTAGTTCACTGACCCCCAAAGCTGGCCATGGAAATGGGCTGACTCGAAGTCCTCTGAGACCACAGAGTGAGAGAGAGGGTGGGCAGTCCAGCTGCAAGCCATTGCAGTAATCCAGCTGAGAAAAAACAAAGTGGTTCTTGAAAACCGAGTTTCATCATTCACCATACATTTGTTGTGTGCTTACTGGGATCCAGACACAGACCCTGAATCTCTAGCACTGAACCATAGCTGGATATAATAGAAGATTTTAAAAAATATATGAACAGTAGAGTTTGCAGGTGATTTGTTGGACACAGGGATGAGGATGAATTAAAGACAATTCTGCCCAGCTGAAACGAAGATGAGGCACTGATGTGGGGAAGGTTGTATTGCATCCTTTCCTGAAGAAGTCAAATAGTGCCAAAGTTTCTGCACCTTGAACGTGCTGTCACCCTCCACAAGGGGACGGCAACCTGCAAAGCATGGAAGGGTCCCTGAACTCTTAGTCTTATTCCTCCTCCCATGGAAATCAGTTTCTGGATTTACTGAAAAACTTACCAAACATGCTTATCCCTACCTTGCTGTCAAAATCAAACCTCTAAGTCTCAACTGAAGCAGGGAATGAATTTTAATTTAATTTCAACTCACTAACCTGATTGACATGCACTATTTATGAGATGTAAGAGACACTAAAATGGCTAAAAAGATGATAGAAACACTCTTTGTGTGAGCAACTTAGTTAAATCACGTAGGCCTCCTAATGAATTCTCACACAGACCTACAGATTGGAGCAGCAGGGATCTCTGGTCAGGCAGGAGGTTGTACGTTCCTTAAGTGTTTGTGCTGTTCAGGGAAGCCTAGCCTCTCTTATCTGAGTCAAGACACTTAAGCCTCATCCAAGACAGTGTGAACACAGACCTTCAGTGCCTCTGGGAGTGTCTTGTCTGCAAGCTTGTACTGATTACTGACTGAGCCTATTCTCCATGTAATTTTTTTTTTTTTTTTTTTAGGAAAACCCTAATGACCTACGGTTTTGGTTGGGAGACATGTACACACCTGGATTTGATACATTATTGAAAAAGGAGGAGGAACAAGAGAAGCATTCAAAATACTGTCGAATAGGTCTGATTTTGCTCCTCGTTGCCTGCATCTTGGTCTCCATAGTGACTGTTAGCACATTTTTCACCTAAATAAACTGCCGCAGACACAGCCACTTGAAATATCTTAAAATTTTTTCCAAATAAACATTTGCAGAAAAACATGTTCATGCGGTGTGAATGCATTGTTGACCGTACAGTTAAAATGTAATTGTCTTATAGAACATAAATGTTGCTTGACATCCGCTGCTTTCTCCATTCTGTCCTCTGAACCCTGTATAAGAATTCCAGTCTGAGCTTTGTCCTTTGGGAAGAAGGAATTCTGGGGATTGAAACCACAAAAAAAGTAACTATGTACAACCACAACCAACACTCTAATAGAGAACAAAGCAGCACCAACAATTGTCAACAATTTTGTCTTAATGCTCAAACTACATTAACCTTGTTTTTAAAACACTGTTACCTTGCCACCCTCACCCTCCTGTCATCACCAGGAAAGTTGAGCAGATAATTTTTTGGCCAACTGCCAGGCATACAGGGTAGCAGCTTCTGGTTGCAGCTATTGGGGTGAATTCTGCTGTTTTACCTTCCTTTATTCCTGTTTAAGCCAGAAAAAAAGGGGGGGGGGTTGGGACTTTCTCCAAATGTATTGTTATTTTCCCAGTAATCCTTTATAATGCCCCAGTTTCCTGGTGTAATTTCAGTAGACCTAAATTTGGATAGGCGGTAGTTACAGAGTTGATTACATTTAGAGCCAATTGTGCTTACTAATTGATCCAAATTGGCTAGTGTGACCCCTGGTGGCAGTCAGTTAGTGTGTCTCACCAGCCATGGCTTAGGGAGGAAGGCCCTAGAAAAGCTGAAGAAATACTGCAAAGAGAACAGGGTTTGAATCCGAACTGTGTCTTTTGCTAACTGTTGGACCCTGGGCAAGTTATTCTCTCCTGAGAAAGAATACTATTGTCTTCCCAGCAGGGCTGGCCTAGGGACTAGACATAGGGAAGAGCGATGCTAACTCCTAATAAGTATTTGCACAGTTCATGGCAGTTGTTACTATGGATATGCACTAGCTTATTGGCTCCCGGGAGTCATATCACATTGCCTGCAAATATCTGGGGACATGGTTCTGGCCACAGATGAATCAAGTCATCACCCTTTTCTTTCTCCTAGAACTCACTTCCCTACTGTCCCTCATCTCCACTCTGCTCTTTTTTTTTTTTTTTTTCAATCTTGTGCAAGAAACAACAAAGGGACTTTTTCTATTTCTCATTAGTCAACTTTTGCCCTTTGGGGTTGTCATATCATTTTGTTGTATTTCTCTTAAAGATACTTGAAATAAAGTACATTAAAGTGCAGCTTTACTGTACAATAAAATCATTGTGCCCCAAAATTGTCTTAGCTTATTTGCAGTCCTTGCCCTGTTATTCCTCCCCTCCTCTACTATATGTTCTAGTCCAATTTAGAACTGAAATAGAAGAAATGAACGTCCTGGGGGCTTCCTGATGGCGGCTCCACTCGCACTGTGGACACCTCCTAGACAACCACTCGTATTACAGTTGACCCTTGAACAACAGGGCTAAGGGGCGCCAAACCCCGCACAGGCAGGCAGGCCTGTACTACAGCCAGGCCTGTTCTTCCACAGATTCAACTAAGCGCAGTTTGAAAACAGTACTTTTGTCTGCAGTTGGGAATCTGCGGTGGGGGATGCGAAAACACTGTTTTCATCCGCAGTTGGTTGAATCTGTGCATGTGAAACCCATGGAGAGAAAGGGCCAACTGTTATTGCCAAAATCCACCTACAAGGGGACCTGCGCAGTTCAAGAGCCAACTCTATACTCTGTTTTCAAAGCTTCACTGCCCAATGTTTGCTTCCAAGGAATTCGAAACATGTTCAGGTTTGTGCTACACGTGGAAAGAATTTGTGCCGCAGCAGGTTGCTTCTGGCCAGGTACAGGTAAGGCTCTGGAAAGGCGGGGAGAGGGGCAGCCACGGGAGCCTGGGGCTGCTCGCCTGAGCCCTGGCCCGTCTCGGTCCCTTTCCCTTCTGCAGAGCCGCACACCTGGTACCCCACTCTCTCCAGCTCCGCCCTACTCATCTCTCACCGTTTGTATTTCAGCATGAATGAGTTTATTACTTTGCTTTTGCTCCCAAACCTATCTGCGTTTCAGCCTTTAACGTAACTAAAGAATCTAAATATATTATTATCCCTCACTGGGTTAATGTTATGCAACTACATGACATTAACCCAGTGAGAGGGTTAATGTCATAAATAGAATACATCCTGTGTGCACTTGAAATCATACTGTGGAAGCAGTCCCAGTTCTGCACTGTGGGCTTTGAAATGGCTCAAGCAGAAACGCCATAATAATGTCATAGAACATATAGAGATGATGGCACTACAAAGGCGTAAATTAAAAATCTAGGCTTTCTTAAAAATTGCCAAACCAGCCCTGGCCGGTTTGGCTCAGCGGTTAGAGTGTCGGCCTGCGGTCCAGAGAGACCCAGGTTTGGTTCCTGCTAAGGGCAGGTACCTCGGTTGCAGTTTGTCTCAGGCCCTGGTTGGGTTGTGCGGGTGGCAGCCACTCGATGTGTCCCTTTCACGTCGATGTTTCTCTCTCTCTCCCTCACTCTATCTGAACAAAAAATGGAAAAATGTTCTCGGGTGAGGATAAAAAAAAACCAAAAAACCCTGCCAATCCAGATCCAACGAACTAATGTTTTTAAAGTATTTAAATAAAATCTTTGTCACACAATCTTTGTCACATAATAGGTGGTCAACAAATAATAAATACTATCTTCAAAGAAGTGACTACTTTAGTCACTTTTCTTTTGGGTAAATTTGAGTAAGAAAGTCTGGTTCCATAAATTTTTTAAGTAATAATGATTTCAAATAGTAATCATTCCTAGGTTATTTAGAAGGTGAACCCCCCCCCCCAAGTTTTGTTTTGTTTTTGTATATTAGGTTAAGGTGAGGGAGGTCAAAAGCAAATCGTGTGGCATATTCTAGAAGAAGGGAATCCAACCATGAATACTTTCTAAAAGTGCATTTATGTGTTGATGATAGTAAGTAAGACATTTTTTTAAATGAGTTTAAAATTAATGAAAGAGCCCTGACCGGTTTGGAGCGTCGGCCTGCGGACCAGAGAGTCCTGGGTTTGGTTCCTACTAAGGACATGTACCGAAAAAAAAAAAAAATCAATAAAAACATAATTGAAAAAAAATTTTTTTAATTAATGAAAGAAGTTTTTGACCATTATATTTTTAAAAAGAAAACAATGGCAGCAGGAGCAGTGAAATTATTGTCCTCATGCTTAAGTAATGATTCTGAATGTGTCAACATTTAAATTAATAATAATAATAATAATTTAAGATCTTGCTCCTCGGTGTATGTGTCAGTTTGGTTTAAATAAACTTAAAAAAATTCAAAATAAAAAATAAAGTACAGCTCCCAAAGAATATTAAATTTATGTAACTCATCAGAGGTGATCCTGTTGTATCATGTTGCTGCCACCAAGTGGAGAGTTCAGAGAAAGGAAAACAAAGAAAAAGGGTTCCTGGCTGCTCCATTTATTCAGAGTGCACTCCTGCCATCTGGTGGTAACAGGCACTGTGACAGCTTTCAGCCCATGAAAAGGCATTTTCCAAAAGGGACATTTTGCAGTTTGGTAAAGGCCCAAGTACGCTCCTGTAATTAGAATAGTTAGATTAGGTGCCAAGAATTCCTTACAACCATTAATGCTGATAATACCTTCTCATCTTGCAGAAAAGGGACTGTCCTCGAGTCAGACGGACACTTGAAGGCAGAGCTGGGACCATCAGCATGAACTCCTGACTCCACTACAAATAATATGCTAAAGGCAGAGAAATTCTGAGAGATGACCCCATTCCTAACTTTGTCAATTGTTTAAAATTTTAGGAATATTTAACAATTTGCTGCTTGTTTTACATATGGTATGATCTGAATTTCTACATTTTTATCTCTCTCAAGAGTCTTTAAATATTTTTAATTCCTCTTTTTTCTATGTCCATTGTTTATCAGTTGTTAAATTCTCCTCTCATATAATTAAAGATGTAATTTTATCATATGTGAGAAATAATTTTTCAAATTGTATTTAGATGGGGTTGTTAAATTGCAACCTCTCTAGATTTGTACTTACATGCCCACAAGTTGAACACGCTGTGCTATTTAGAGGAAAGATAACTTGGTTCCTTCCAAATAATCACTCAGTATGGGCTCTTGCCCAACTTGAAATGAGAATATTCAACCAAAGTAAGCAACTTTGGAAACCAGAGCAGTTGTTCTGCCCTCCTTTTATGGACACTCTGACTCCCGTACCTGATCAAATCGCACTCTCTGCACATGGAAAACATAGCACCAAACTGGGGCTCTCTCTTCTTCAGTGTACAAAACATCCCGTGTGCTGCTCCTGCCCTGTCCTCACTCACGGCTCCATCGCAATCTGTCCTTTGCCTCATCTTCCTCCCTGCCTCAGGTACATGGCATCTCACAGTGCTCTTTTCTCGATGCCTTGGGCCTGTTGAAAGGAGACAGAATACATAGAGATAGCATGCACAGAGAACTATATATGTGTTTGTTACATATGCATCCATGTGTATATAAAAACCAAATACAAAAGGTTCTCTTTCAAAAGAAAAATTTGAAATTAAAAATCTTAAAATAAGGAAATTAGTTTTTTAGTAAAAAATAATTTCTGTTTCTTTGGCCAAAGAAATGAGAGTCGAGGCTCACACAGTTTTACTTACACTATACTTACGGTTTTCAAGTTCCTGACAAAGAGAAGAAAGTAAGAATTCTTGTGTTGATTAAACTGGTTAGTTTTGCCAAATTATGAAATGTGTTAAAATCCCTCACATTTGAATTAGCTTCACAGTTAGTGGATTACTGTTTAATTTCTTGAATAGTAAAACAATGGCTAGGCTAGATTTAAAACTTTATTAATCACTATTAATGAAATAGCAGTTAACTAAACTTATTTCTTAAAATATATTATTTAGCCTGGCTGGTGTGGCTCAGTGGATTGAGCATTATCCCATGGAGTGAGTGGTCTTGGTTCAATTCCGGGTCAGGGCAT